AGGTACTTATCATTTTCTAAGTACTACTTTTAATGATCAGTGGATAGGAACAAATGGCCCAATACAGTGGCCTCCCAGATCACCAGATCTAAACCCACTTGATTACTTCTTGTGGGGTTACTTAAAGAACCAAATTTACAAGCGAAGGTACGATAACCTTGACGCGTTAAAGACTGCTGTTAGGGAAAAGATAACCCAGATAGATGGTAGGACCATACTTAAGACAGTTCGAGCAGTTGAAAAACGTGCCCAAAAATGTATTGAAGAACAAGGTGGCGTTTTCGAGCATCTTCTTTAAAAAAAATTGTTATTGTATTTTGTAAGATTATAAGTTGATGTTGAAAATAAAGTTTGTCGATACAATTTAATTGTTTCAGATTGGAGGCCATAACTTCAACAATTTGTAACCTAGGAGAAAAGTTATTGTAAGCTTTTTTGTTTAAAATTTGATGCTTTAACAGAAAAAAATATAATATACAGGGGTTTCCATTTAAAAAAATGTTATTTTACTGAAAAAAATCAAAATAACGACTCTCAATTGTTTTTTTTTATTTCTCATTTTTACCAGCGTTAAAAATGCTACTAGTTTGCTAATTCAAACAACTTTGTATTTTCACTAATAACAAAGTTACTAATGGTGGACACTTAATTTGGATAACCCTGTATAAGTTAAGCCACACCGACTCCTGAGAGCAACTAAATCAGACTATTAAGCTGTCCTCACCTAGACTAGATTCTTTACACAACCTGTACCAAGAAAGAAGGAGGATAAAGAAAGAAAAATGTGAACATCTCCAAATGTTTAAGAAAACTGTACTTCAAGATTACTATACCTTCTACGGCAATCTTCCCAACGAAAAAAATTAATCTTTTCACCATGTAATATGCTCTAGTATTTTAAATGTAATAAAAATACAATCATGATAAATTCGTGATTTTATCTTCTGGAAAAATAAGTATGTCCCTGACTTCAAGGATAAAAATTGCGTAACAACTTAAAAAAATTAAGTGTTATACTTGGCAAGTGTGCTTTCGCTTTTATCTACGTGTGGCCCGTCTTTCAACAGTTAGTATAAATTTCGCTGTGTTATTAGATAAACACAATCTTCAGGAAAGTTGTTTATCTCCCATGAAAAATTTCCCCCGAATTTATCGAAAACCACTCATTGAAAGAAAAAAATATTTGTCAAGGGGGACACATTTTTAACCAAAAACTACTTCACTCCCTTTCACCCTCTGCCCCCCAGGGTCATCCCCTTGACAATTTTAAATGACAAGGGGGATCGAGTAATAGCTTGTTTGAAAGGTATTTTGAAGTCATCTATTTTGACGGTTGATTTTTAAAGTCGGTTGATTCGTTTTCAAGAAAATTAGAAAAATCTCTATTCATCTTAATTTGTTCAAATAGAAGATAAAACATACGAAAATATCACCTTTTATTTCAATGAATATTCAAAATGTTAAATGCCCTTTATTGGCCAAATCATGATATAGGTGATGTTCCAATTCCTAACGGACATTTTCAAAAACATCTTGTGGGATATCATGGCAGCTTTCGATAATGCGTTGACAAAGTTCAAACTAAACTTTCAGGTTGGGAAGTGCAGCGTAAGGCTTTGAAGTATTTGTATTACAAATGTTATGGCAATTATCCTGAAAGAGGTTTTGAACATTCTATTTTATTAAACATTTTTGATATAGAGTCATTGCATCTTGGACGATATATCAGCGCTACATCTTTTGCACAAAATCTTACACAATCAAGTTGATTGTTCATTCATATTAAGTAAACCTAATTTCGTGTGCCTAGGTTGGGAAATCGTGTTCAAATCACTTTCTATCCGGTTATTGGTAATACTAATTTAATGTCTATATCTCCGATAAATATGATTTGTACATGTTTCAATTATGTTTGCAGTTCCTGTGACTTATTTTTTGATAGTGAGAACTTTGTTATGAAATGCTACAGAGACTGGTACCTTTGTTAGTGAGAGTTTGTTTTTCTTTTTTTAAGTTGTTTTTTTTTGTCTTTGGCGTTACCGCTATTGCTAATTATGTAACTTTTTCATGTATTTTTCTTGTAACTGGGTGTCCAAAACATACTTACGCGAAGTTGTTATTTTCCCCGGCGTTAGACGCGACGGCAGTTTGCGGAGCACATTGATTTTGCGCACCGTAAATTAGAATCATTTCAACTCTTTCGGCTAGTGCGTAAACCATTTTTGAAGTAAAATCTGTATCAATAAATGAATGCTCACTATCCCAAGATAGTAACACAAAGGTAACTGACAGAAAATTAAAGTATTTCTTCCTCATAGCAATAAATAACTAGACAGGTATAACAATGAAATCTGTGTCCATGACAAAAATGTGAAAAGAAATTATATATGTTAAACAGACAACAACAGACAACATTTTGTTACAGTTATTGAAATAAAAAGTGATATTTTCGTGTGTTTTTGTTCTCTATCTGATCAAATTAAGATAAATAAAGATTTTTCTAATTTTCTCGAAAACGAATCGACTGATTCCAAAAATCAAACGTCAAAATGAACTTCAAACGACCATTCACACAAGCTATGTCTCAATAACCGTTGTCATTTAAAAATTTTAATGGGATGACCCTGGGGGAGCAGAGGGTGAAGTAGTTTTTGGTTAAAAAGTTGTCCCCCTTGTCAAATATTTTGACATATCTCGGCGTTTTTTGTTTTAATTAGTGGTTTTTGATAAATCTGTGGTGGAAGGTTTTCAAATAAACACCCTGTATATGTTCGTAACAAACATTATAGTCGAAATCACGAAAGATAACGATTACGTCATCATTTTAGACTGTAGTAAAGACAAACGACAGCGATTTGTGAATATTTTTAATGAAGTTTCAGATATGCTAGACAGAGACAAACATAATTTTATTGTCTAAACAAACTGTATTGCTAATATGCGACGTATCCGACAAATATAGACGATGTTTTCAGGTTGCATGATCGATCATATTTGAAAGATGAATAGTTAGGTTATGTTAAACAATGTTGTTTTTGAATAACACTTTGGTCTTTGCTGTTTCTGTCTTAAGGCATTCTAACCATAACTGTTTTTTTTTTTCAAAACAAAAACTCCCCAATAAGATTATTATTACTCAAAACCATGAAATAAAATGAAAATAAAAATAATCAGTGAAATAACCTAACTTCGCAAAATCATAATATAAATTTGTTGTCATTATTCCTGGCATCGTGATTTTATCATCGACGTACGTCCATTGGTTACTTCAGTACAATTTATGGTATGACGTAATAGATATCTTCGTGAATTTGACTACATTTGTCTTCTTACATAGTGGTTATCGCTTGGGACGTGTTTTGTCTCGTTCAAGAGGTAAGATTGCTGTGGCCTTTGGTTATATAGTTTTATAGATTTGTTGCTGTTTTTTCTTTGAATCCGGTTTTTTTTATATAGTTCCGTATAATGTCCCATTTTTATTTTTTGTTCTGTGGTTTTTATTTCTTTGTGTAGTTTTTTGGTCAATCCTTGTAACTGAACTGTTTCATTTTTGCGCTGCAGGAGGAAACAATGAGCGCCGATATAATGGCAATTTAAAAAAACACATTATTTAGCACCTATACAAGAATCCGACGAAATTAAAATCACATCAGACACTGGGATAAGAAAACCATTGTATGCCATGGAGCCTGTATACCAGGAGAAACTACGCAATTCTGTTCGTGCAGTGAAAACGTCCCCAAAACTTGACCCCTGGAGTACCAGGGTTTTTACTTGTAGACTTTTTGGAGGTATAATGTTCTGAGGAAAATCACAGGTTTCAACAGCAATTCTGGGGAATTTGTGAGTTTGTTCTGTGGAAATTCTGCTCGACCCGTCAGTCAACGCTGTGCTTTCGCAGATCTGTCATATAAACAATTTCTTAATAGTCTAAGATCCGGCCGCTAGAATCTGCAGGTATGTTTTTCTTTTTTTTTTTATGGAACTTGATTTTTATGGATCATAAATAGTAGTGGTAATCTGTTCTACTAATGTTTATCATCCATAAAAATTAAGTTTGATCAAATGCAGGTTCAATCGGCCGGATCTCGTACTATACTATACTTTTGATTCCGTTAACAACGAGAAAATTGAATGATAACGAAGTCTTGGGAAGTATAGAGTCAGTCTACTTGACGCAATTTTTCACTTAAGAATGTAACGACTTCAGTAGCTAGCACCTACGTACTAAGAGTCCATTTTGTTTACATATTGGTACAATAAATTGAATTTATTCACCTAATAAGTATAAATCATGTACAACAAAGTAATTTTAAATATCTTGAAGCCGATCTCTAAATTATCTTAAAAGCACATAATATAAATCCACGCGTTATCAAGATGAATATTTCTGAAGCGTATTGATCATCTAGTTTGTCAATTAGAACGTCTGCGTCTGGTATTCTCGTTCTCAATCCATATCGGCGATCGATCGCCGTGCATTTCCATGTTGAATAATAATACTGTTAATTGGCAGAAGAGAGGTGATATGTCCTGTGGGAGCTTTCAGACACCGGCCGGCACGGAGACAAAGCCGAGCGACCACATTTCTGCGTCATTTAAATGGTCAAATTGCTCGCCCGACAAAGTATGCTGTGTTGTATGCAGTATGCGCACTACCGTATGCTACATCCTGTCGTTTGCCGTATCGCATCATATGGAATCCAAGTTGGCTGCTTTTAATTTTCTTTCATGTCCACATGCGGTACCGTTGTCTATACTCAGAAGTGGGATAAGCTTTACCGATGATGATTTCATCAAACCTTAAAGCGTATATAAATAATTAGAAACACGACATGTTTTGATACATCATATATCAAGGGTGTGCTTAATTCCAGTGGTCCTATAAGAATTACCTTAGGACCTTTTGCCTCCAACGTCGGTTGCGCTGTATGAAGTACGCGCACTACCGCATGCTACATCCTGTCGTTTGCAATGTCGCATCATACGGAATCGAAGGTGGATACTCAGAAGTGGGATGGGCTTCGCCAACGATTGTTTCATCTGACCTAAAAATATAATATATGGGTAATGAAAAACGAGATATCAAGGATGCGCTGAATCTCAGTGGTCCTTAATGAATTACCTTATGACCTTTTGCTTCCAAAGTATGCTGTGTTGTATGAAGTATGCATTCTACGCTATGATATATCCTGTCATTTGTACATCCGTGTCCAAATGCGGTACCGCTGAATATACTCAGAAGTGGGATGAGTTCCACCAATGATGTCACCATACCTGAAAATATAAATAAGTAATTAGAAACATGACACATTTTTATGCATCGGATTTCCAGGATGCGCTTAATCTCAGTGGTCTTTAAAGAATTACCTTATAATTTTTTGCTTGCTACGATGAAATACTGGAGGTGCGTATGAGATTCATTCAATCTAAATTTTATTGATTGCAGCAATATGGTTTGAGACCACAAATCAATGGTATATAACAATCAACTCATTCTTTTTTTCCAAACAAAGGTAAAAAACGAACTAATTGCAGCTTGCAAAACTTACATTCATTAGAGATATTTTGTATGGATAATACTTCTGGTAAGATGAGCTAAACGCAAACGTTTATTTACGAGGTTATTATATTCGCAAAGCTGAGTCAGTGTATCTAGGAATTATGCATCTGGACACTGCGTTCAACTGTGATGCGAAAACTAGCTTTTTGGACGCTCATTCTGCCGTCAATATTGAATGTGTCATAATTTTTGAAGTTCTGCCAATAAAACTACTAAAATTGCTCAGAATGATTCTACAAAAAGTTCATCTTCAAACTATTTAAAACTCTAAAACTCCAATAAATTTTGAGTGTTTTATCTGCAAAACCATATAAATAGAGCGGCGAAAAAGTTAATCTTCGAAACATGCTTCTTTTGAGTGGTCTGTTAGTTGTTTGTTACCTTCCGTCTTCTCTACCATGTAATGAATAGTTGTGGTCCACTCGCATCATATATTTTGAGTATACAACACATGTTAATCAAATAATTATATTGAAAGCAACTTAATCATCATCAAGTGTGATCGAAATTTCTTATAGTCAATATCCTTAAATTGTGTTTTTCGATCCACTTTAAACTCGTAATGCCCCGATTTTGATTGAAAGGCGAGAAAAAAGCTATGTTTCGGTACCGGACACCAGACGTAAATTGACCATTGCATGTTACCTGTATTGCACATTTAAAAATCAAAAAGATATCAAGAGTAAAGGTATGTACACATTTCATGAATGGAAACTGATACAAGATCGAGTTTTTTCCAAACTGATAAATGATTACAGTTTAAAAAAAAAGATAAATATCGCTAGAGTCATCCCCCAATTTCATTATTTGATTAATAATCCGTTGGATGCAGGCTTTACGGATGAGGCTCTACTGGTAATTGAGTAAGTCGTTTCAAAAACCTCCCACAATTTGAGTAGTTTATGAATCAACAAAAACTGAGTCCGCTAACAATAATTATGTGTTGAAGAAGTTTTTTGAGTTTAATATGGTATTTTAGTTTCAAAAACTTTAAAATATGGAATAACTTGCTGCAGTTTGTCAATACGAAGTAATAAACATTTTGAAAAGCTGTTCTCGACTGATCTTGTTTTAGCAAGAATTATAGTTAGTGGTACATAATTTATGAAAAACAAACATATTAGTTATAGCTTTTATTATTTTTTATTGAAAATTGTGCTTGAATATTAATTTATTAACATGTCACAAGTTTTAATTTGGCATGTTTTAATTTATTATAGAAAAAAGGCATGCTGGAAAAAATATAACCTGACAGCTTCCTACTGTACTGTGAAAAAGGCCATCTAATGGCCGAAACGTTAGTAATTTTTCACATTTACGACTAGCAGGGTATGGTTATTGATTAGCGAGACAAACACAGGATACGTTGCAGATGTTACATCCATTGATTTACGTTGTTGATGCAATGAACATCAATTACGTGGATTATATCGACAATACGAATCTACCATAAAGAAACTGTTTTCAGCAAAAAGAATCATGGTGGATAATAGTATGACTCAAGTGATTTTCGAAATGACCCATTCATTTATACTACTGTGCTGTATAGCTTGGATACAGTCCATTAATTTTTAAACAGAAGTTTTGCAAGTGATACTCCACTCCATTAACTAGAAACTCTCTACTTTTTAGATACGCTGCGCTTGCGCAATTTTGGGAGTTTAAGTTTTAAATTCTCAGAAATAATTGCTGATGGATTGAAGTTAAACACTCTACTAATGATTCGCTATGCTTTGTAAGTCCACGGCATTAACCCCCTTGCAAGTTTCCTTTCCAGAGCTTCTGAAATAAAGGTGCATATTTTACCGGACAAACTCGATTTTAGGTTAAACTAGTTTTTCCTATGCGAAATCGGTTTATCCTAAGGGCGATAGGATGAACTAGTTTATCCTGAAACAAATTAATTATAACTAGTAAAAACTGATTTGTTCTAGTCTAAACTGCTTGGGACTGAGATTTAACTAGTCTGAACTCATTGAAGGGTAGCTGAGTGACTTTGGCTCGTTAAGCATGGTCTTACAAAAATTGTATTGGAAGTAATTGTTTATTTTATTGTGGTTTTTTTATTGGAAGAAGAAGTGAACAACAACTTTTGTTAAGAACCGCAGCAATTAAACATTCAGATGGAACAGGCCAAGGTTTCTTTAACTGTAGTTGTACCGAGAAGTGTACGTCAAATAATAGTATTTTCTTCAATTAGTAGTAAAAACATTACTTTTAGCTTAGATCAGGATAAACTAGTTCATTCTATCGCCCTTCGGATAGTCAGTGCATCGAAAAAGGCAAAAAAGCAATTTCCATTAACAACTGTTTAAAATCTCATACGGTAAACTCTGCTAACTTCATTCTCATGGGGCAAATAGTAAATCTCTCAATCGTTTATAAGCGCGCCTTCTTTATTATCTGTGGTGTATAAAGGGCTTAACCCGTACGGAGTTAATGTAGGCAATATGCAGTTTTCGTAAATTATACATGCACCAGCAGGTCCGATTAAACGTTATGCCATCGCTCAGCGCTGTGGCCGGTGCCAGCGCATGGTTTTTTATAAACGTAATTACAAGAGAGTTATAATAAGCGGAGCGAGCTTTATGGGCCCTCCATTGATCGTTATTAAAATAAGAACGCGCTGGGCAACGAAGAGGTAAAAGAAAATCGTGAGGAGATAACAGATATATGGAAAAAGCCAACTGCTACGCTTGGGTCATCGTTTTTGTGCATATTGTCAAGCCGGAAAAATGAACGAATACCTCCATTACATAGTCTCAGAAGCCTAACATGACGCTGTCTCTCTGGAACATGCCGCTTCTTGTAAGCAATAATTGAAATGGCACAAAGGAGATATCTGCACTTAATCTGAAACTGGAGTTTGGACCTTTTACTTTCTTTTAGTAGATGTACAAAAAACGGTCATTTCATATTCACCGACTTCGTAAGTACAGGGTGCGGCAGAGAGGATGGACGGTTTTAAAAAAATCATAAAATATTTAATTTTTACTCGAAAACAAATTTATTGATGGAATCGGGTTCACAAGGAAATAGCGTTTGAGACAGTCAAGTGTGGAAAATCACATCAGGCATGTGGTGGCCGAAATCGTTGATGCAGTGCTGGAGGCGTTCTTGGAAGTTCGCGTAGACTCTCTCCAACATCGCTCTCTCGTTACTTTTGGGCTGTGCAGCGGTCTTTCGTGTAACTGTTGCGGATTTTCATTAGCCCAATAACGACAATTCTGCTGGTTAACCATGCTGTATAGGTGAAAGTGGGCTTCGTCACTCATATACAAAATGAGGTTCTCATTTTGATCGATCAGTGCTTCCATCTCACGTTCGAAGTTCATTCGTTGTGCATAATCTCCGGGCTGTAACTGTTGCACAATGGCCAATTGGTGGGGGTGAAAACGGAGATCCATATGCAAAATTCGCCTTACCGAACGATCACTAAGGCGAAGTGCAGCAGCATGTTTCCGGGCAGATCGAGTCGGACTGCGAAGAACGCGTTCAACATTTTCAGGAGTTCGAACTGTTCGCGGCGCTCCTCGTGGTCTTCTGTTGATCAGTTCACCACGCCTGCGAAGTGATTCAACCCAACGAAAGATGGTGTTTCGAGAGGGAATAGCTCTATTCCAATGAATGTTGAAGTGGCGACGAAACTCACGCTGTAGGACGATGACTGACTCATTATTTCGGACGATAACGCGGTGCTCCACCGTCCAAGGCTCCATAACGACAACTGGTAAAATAATGCCAGGACCTCACGAGTCAAACGGCACCCTCCCCACCTCTCTCGTAGACGGAGGCGGGGAAGTACTACCCATCCCAAAAACGTCTGACCTCTCTGCCGCACCCTGTATTTTATTTGAACAGAGATAGTTGAATTTTGTCAAAATATCTCGTCAGCTTAACTAAGCAGTTTCGGCCGATTAAAAATAATATATGATGCTAAAATACTAAGGAAAATAGCCATATGTAAACTTAATAAGCCGGTTGAGTGCTATCGACAACACTTCTGGCTAACCTGCTGTTCAGTTTATACAGAGTGTCCTATAAATAACAAGCCAGAGTGACACGGGAGATTTGCTGCAGATCAATCAGATAAAACCAAGATGACCTTAATAAAAGTTTTATAGGTTTCGAGATTTTGCCACTTTTAAGCTTTTTCAAAAAATCACTACTTTTTCTCCTTTTTTGCCTGTTATGGCTATAAAGAACTTCTAGACAACCGAGTATTCACTTCGTTCAAAACTATCACGGTATGCTAAAAAAAAATTATTGCATTTTGTTTTAATGTGGATACCTCTACTGAAGTTTGACTACATACTGTGAAAAAAAATGCACCAGACTGAATCGGCAAATTATCTCAAAAATTAAATTTGCTTAGATTTTTTGCAACATCATCTACCCATTTTCTTGGAAGATGTGCCTTTTGAAGAAGAAGAAGAAGAAGAAGAAGGATGCGGTTACTGAATAATGGGTGCCCTGCACACTATGCTACTGCAGTAAGAGGTATCTCATTTCTAGAAGGTGGATTGGCTGGCTATTTCTCTGTAATTGGTCATACTTTGGTAAAGGTTTTCGCATTGAAACCAAATTTACTAATTTAGTTTTTTTTAGCATACCGTGCTAGTTTTCAATGAAATGAATACTCGGTTGTCTCAGCCAACTATTAATTGTAGCCCAGTAAGAAAAACATAAGTTAGAACCACTTTATAGCCATAACAGGCAAAAAAGGAGCAAAAAGTAGGGTTTTCTTGAAAAAAGTACCAGTATATCGAAAACTAGAAAGCTTTTACTAAGGTCATGTTGATTCTGTCTGATTGATCTGAAGGCAATCTACCTCAGGCACGGGTATCATGTAAAACACCTATAAAACGTCAAAAAAACCTATAACATGTCAACTTGCAGACTAGGTAGTTTTTAGGGCGCAAACAGTCATTCCACGTTTGCTCACTAGGATCGTTGTCAACGTCCATCTATGGAGGAATCACTCAACTAAACTACACGCATTATTGATTCCATATGTTTTGTTAGGCCAAATAGACCTTGTCTGTAGTTTTTATCTCTGAGAAGAAAATTGGTTGAATAAGAAGATCGCATCTGGATGATTATGTGCATTGGTCTGCATGTGTATAAAACTAGTGATATTTGCTGTGTGACAAAATCATTACTGAATATGCTGCCAGTGTATATCTATTGGCTGTGCCCGACGGGTTACTTTTATGTTGTGCTTTCTGAACATAAGTTATGTTCAGAGTTATAAATTACGAAAAACTGAGGGGAACTACGAAAACTCGTCACCGCGCCCTCGTTGTGTATAAGTACTGTTAGCATGTATATATGGCTTGTAATTCGACAGTGTACAGTGAATATAATTATTTCTTATCTCTCTCATTTTTTAAATTCAGCAAATTTGTATATATAATTTCCAGAATGGATAAGAAAAAGTGGATGCGCAACTAATTTCTAGCTTTGAATTTCAATTAAGTGTATTTGAGACAAGAACCCAATGTAATTATCTTCAACACATACAACTTACAGCTTAGACCTCCAGTAAAGCCATCTCACAAGCAGATTTTACATCAAATCAGAGCCAAAGATTGATAACAAGCCTCATGACCTTTAGGCAACACGTACAACTAAGTTCTAAGTTAATATCTTGTAGAAAAATTTACATGATGTCAAAAAAACCGAGCATAATGTCAAAAAAAATCGGCATAATGTCACTTTTCAAAATACGTGATACCCGTGCCGTGTCACTCTAGCGTATTATTTCTGGGACACCCTGTATATTACTGGTCATGAATTTGAAGCAAAAATGTGGTAATTGTTATACGACTAGACGCATAAAAGTTGAACGTGCAATTATGCCCGTTACTAGGCTACTATTCCCAGTAATACCAAAGCAAAAAGGTGGCATCCGTTACATTACTATGGCATAAAAGACGTATGTGCACAATGCTAGGCAAAAAAGTCGTAACTATAGCATGATTGGCACTTACAACTCGTATACCTTATAGTCTAATCATATTAGCAAATTTCCCCGAAATAAGTGTAAAGTTTGGTTTTGTTGATGCAAGTTGTTCAAGGCGGTATTTAAGTTATGGAGGCATAAAATGGGTACACCAGTTTTTGTGGGAAAACTTTTAATTCAACATAAAGAATGAGAAAACGTGTTTTTTGGGATTCAATGGAAAGGGCAGTCACGAAAAAACTGTTCGAATAAGATTTTTAGGTTTTTAAACCGAGGCAAAATGCAGGTTTTGGTACTTGTTGCTGATGCGACGATAATTTCACGCAGCTACTTGAAATTCTTCGAATCCATAGCCTCCATGCTTCTAAATAGCCACAACAAAATTGGAGTCGATTGGTTAAGCAGTTTTTGAAAATGTCTAATTGTTCGTTCAAATTGAATTTTATAGCATATCCCAGATCTAGAAAACCACAACCATTTTATCCAGATTATTTTGATTCTGATTTCAAGAATTATCCCGCAAAGCGGAGACGGAGAGTTCCAATATATACTATTAGAGCCGTTTTACACACAAGAGAATTACTCCGAAAATTATGGTCATAATTATGCCGAAAATTTTTGCTGTCGTATTACACGTAAAAGAATTCTTGTGAAAATTTTCATGGTAAAAATATAAAACCCGTTCTATATTATATGCGCGAGAATCGGCGCAGAGGGTTATTTCCGTGCATGTCAATATCAAATGTCAACGACAACAACAACAACATAACCTCACTTAACATTTGTGGGAGTGGTCCTGTTCGAGTCGTACGAAGGAGCGTTTATTGTTATTGTTTATTCATAATGTCGTGAAATCGGGAAGAATTTACGATGTTGTTGGAGGAGTACCAAAAGTGGCCAAACCTGTACAAGGTGAAGTCACCCAATTACAAAAACAGAAATTTGCGGCGTCAGGCGCTGGATGCGATAGTCCAAGCATTGAGAAGTTTTATAATATTAACCAAGATCTCGATTTCAAAAATAAATTTAAATTATCGACGTCTGTTGTCTTTCCGATTATATTGGACGTCATACCCGTTAAGGTTATGTCCATTTGAAAATATAACTCTAATGCGCAGGCGTATCATATGAATTACTCCGAAATTTTGTTTGCTTGTGTCATACAGGTTGTAGAGAAAATCTTCAATATTTTTTCCATGCAAATTTTCAGCATAATTATGACCATAATTTTCTGAGTAATTCTCTTGTGTGTAAAACGGCTCTTAGACGATAGCTTATTCGCTGTGCGTCGCCTAGTGACCGTAATTATTCGGGACTAGATATTTGTCAGTTCTTAGCAACTTGATGTTTTGATAACAATATTAGGCTTTTTCTACGTTGAAATTATGTAGAATTAAGTGAAAGTACTTAATAAGGGTGTGGTGCAAAAAACGTAAGGATTTGAATCCATAAAGCATGATCTAAACCTCCAACCTCATTCCATGCAAAAAGGAAATAAATTAGTGTTATCACGTTGGAGAGCTTGAAACGAACGGACAAGGCTACTTAATAAGAGCTCTGATCATAGGACAAATGTCGGTGACACAAACTCGCTACAAAACATCATAAAATGTGAGTACCTAACTATATAATGAAAGTGTATTGTGATTTAGCTACACGTCAGCTTATACTAATTGTTTTAATGTTTGTTGTCATTTTTGCACACAGTACAGTAAAAATGGAATATATTCACTAATATAACGTTAGGATATTCCTTACTTGTTCTTCAATTACAGCAGCCGTCCATTTACACATTTGCTCTAATTTATATCCATCTTGCAGTAGGAAACATACAAAAGTTTAAGGTACTGTTTTTTTATTGTTTTTACAGTACCCACTTCGTACATTGCGAATAGCCCGAAAAAGATAATACCAAATATTATGAGGCTCCACAACCTTACGCAGCTGTTCTGCAGAGAGTGAAAAGACACTTCTTGCGTCACTGTGAGAGCCTCGCAAGGCCTGAAAATGCAGGTATTTGGGATATACATGCGGAAAACTTTAATTTTGTAAATATTCATTTATCCTTTCAAGTCGAAAACCACCGTAAAGATTTTGCTGGACCAGATTGTTTTATTCTTTTCTACTAAGAATATGCTGATATTCATGTTTAATTCTTTTATTATTAATTTGCTATCAAATAAGCCATAAAAATAGATTATATCGATTCTGGAGTAAACTTTTCGTGAATGGAGATTGTGAATCGTGATTCGTGGCGCGCGAACTGGACCACCCGAGCGCCCTCTGTCTTGTAATTAAAACTCGATACTATATTTACCAAGACTTCGGACAGTACACGGACCATCGCCGTAAGTACTGAGATATAGTACACGCGGTACCACTTACACTACAGTGGTCATCGTTACTAAGATCCTTTTTACCTCATCATCCGAAAAACGATAGTGAGATTGACGAAATATCGTTTTGTTCATTGTACACAAACCTTTTCCACGGAGATAGAAAATAGCTATGCGTCTGGTTTATTGAGTAATAACTGTGTTATACACGTTCGTAGCTCATAGGGGCTAACTTGTGCTGAGCCTAATCCTTTATGAAACTGGTAACAGAGTCAACCTACTTGAGTCCATTTTTTGATATAATACGTGCAAGTTAAGTAGACTACACTTGGGTTTCCTGGTAACATTTTGTTGATTAATTGCAGGTACATGTTCTTTGGGTGAATCCAACATTATTTTAAAGAAAATGAGGTAACTCTTATTGCGCGAGTGGTTGGCGCTGCCTATAAGTTATTCGCCAAAGCATGGAAGAACGTTTTTTAAATGATTTATAAATCAAAAGTCAAAAGCTAAGTCCCATACAATAATACGTGGAGCATCCAGCGGCCTTGGATTATAAGTGTTTCAGATTTCATATAGTATAATTGTGTTTGTGCCATTTTCGTATATATACTTAATGACATTAGAAGTGTTATACCCAGAAAAAATAATTTCTTCAACTTGTTTTTTTGGCAACATAATGATTATATTTAAAGCATGCTGTGCCAACGCTCAGACCCGTCGATTTTGTTTTCGAGGGGGACACAAGTTTGGCAAAAAATCATGTTAGCACGTGCAGCCTCCTAAGCGGGGGTGACACCACCCCCAAAATGCGACTGTTTCGTTTTCGTTGCGCCACCCTGTATATAGACATATGGATTTATTGTTTTTTGGCGTACCTACTGTAAAACTGTATAAATGATTGGGGCACGAATTGGCAGATTTACCAAGCGATTAATAGCTTAGTAAAATATTTTAAAGAAATGACACAACGTTTTATCTTCTTTAGAGTTGGGAGAATTAATCATTTTGCCTCTAGATAAAGCATACTCTCCTACGCTAGCAGAGGAGGCACTTAAGTAGAACGTTAACAACACTAAGCTATCAATTGACCTGAAATAAAAGGATTAATATTACTAATAACACGATTTAAACAATTTTATTAAAATTGTCAACACTTAACTATGTAATTTTCATTTCTGGTTCTTGAAACTTCCATAATCTGCTCAAGATCTACATCCTCACTTGATTCTGTTCCAAAATAGTCTTCATCGTTGGCGATTTCTTAAACATCTGTAATAAACGGCACAATGAGCGGTTTGATATATGAGAAGACTGAAAAGTTAGGAAAAGCACAAAATGGTAGTCACAAAGCCCAGCTGTGAACAGCCGTTACTTTGTTAACACGCATGCTCTATCAAATTTAGATAGATTGAACGTTAAACTGCTTTTGGAACAAAACCTATTCGTCACGTTGTTTGTTTACCTAATAGTTGTGTATAACCCACAGTACAATTTCATCAAATACTTGGAATCACAATATGTGAAAGTCTAATCGACGATTCGATCGTGCGACGCTGAAATCTGGTGGCGATGGGACTCGAACCCACAACTGAGGTACTACGTACCGACGCGCAGTGGTCTATCTATGCGAAAGCGTGTCAAAAATTAGAAAAACAAAATATTGAACAGACTTTATCACCTATTTAAAAGTTAATTCCTTGAACAATAAATTGACCATGGGATCAGAACTTTGCTCACCATGACAGACTATTAAACTTAAGGTTTTGGATGTACCGTTCGACAATACTTTTAAAATGCACATTTGGAGAGTTTCTGTATCAACTGTTGTGCTGCTTGTTGATATTTGAGCATGGATCATAATAAAGATAGTACGAATCTTCACTTGATGTCACAGAAATATGTCATATTGTCGTATTCATATGATACATGAATTGAACGGATTAGCATTTTTAGCTTCGCTTCTTGATTTTGGTAATATTTTGAGAGGTTCTGCCCTTTGCCTCAATTTGAGTAAATGGTGTATGTGAACCTTGGAGTACTGCTAGAAAAAATCTAGGTTGGTTTTTGCTAACTTTTCCAAACTATCGATAAATGTTACTTTATATACTGTCATATTATGGCAGGTGGTCGGAAACGGTTATTCAACTTTTGTCCTTGGCCTCAAAATACCCCCAAATGCCCTTCTTGGAACAAGCTGGTCTCTGACTTAACGACGCCGAAAACCTCTATAACACGCGTCTGGACTCGAATGCTAGACTTATACCAAATTTGTTGTTGAAGCGACCTTGAAATGACTTTCTTGTGCCCTTATAGTTACTTTACTGATCTCTCATTCTCTCTTTGTACCGCGAAAAACCTAAATCATATGCGGTTGGCATCAACTGCTCGGCTTCTTTTGTAAATGTCCTTGATCTGACCTTGAAGTGACCCTCAAATGTCCTCATAAAGACAAAGCAGCCTCAGATTTGAAATCAGAAACCCAGAAAACGGGGTGGGGGCAGTATCTTCAGTGTCTGGAAATTCAGTCGCTATGGAGTGTTTCACTGGAGCGGATCGTGCTTTTTGTGTGCGCGCGTTTTATCAAAATAATGATTCGGCAACCATTGCGCGGCGTAAATATCGAGAATACCACAATTTACACAATTTTACAAAGTGTCCAACAGCTCAAACGATTAAGAACTGGGTTGCTAAGTTCGAAGAGACTGGTTCGACGTTAGATAAACAGCAGTGGGGTCGACCAAGGACAACTCGTATTGAAGAAAACATCAACATTGTGGCACAGTCTGTTCGTCAAAATCCTACCCAGTCTACTCGTAAGCGTTCCAGTGCACTAAACGTACCCAGAACATCTTTACAGCGGATTTTAAGGAAAGATTTACATCTGCACGCTTACAAAATTCAGTTAGTGCAGGAATTAAAAGATAATGACGCTTTTCAGAGACAAAACTTTGCGAATGAAATGTTGAATCGATTTTCTTCGCTCAATAATGTGTTGTTCTCGGACGAGGCTCACTTCCATTTAAACGGGCATGTAAATAAACAAAATTGCCGTTATTGGAGCCCCGAAAATCCAAGGCGTAAGCATCAGAAGCCCTTACACAGCCCTAAAGTTACAGTTTGGGCTGCTATGTTAGCGCATGGCATCGTAGGCCCTTATTTTTTTGAGGACGACAGAGGTCCCGAATTAACTGTTACTTCGGAGCGGTATGTAGCAATGATAGAAGAGTTTTTGACACCAGCGTTGCAGAATTTTCCAGGCTATAATACGCAGACCTGGTTTCAACAGGACGGAGCAACTGCCCACACCTCCAACACTTCTATGCCCGTCGTCTGTCAAACTTTTTCCCAGCAAAGTAATTTCTCGAAGAGGAGACATTTCCTGGCCACCACGTAGTCCAGATTTGACCCCAATGGACTTTTTTTTATGGGGCTACCTCAAGAGTAAAGTGTACGACACCAATCCGCGATCAGTTGATGTCCTGAAAGAAAATATCCGAAGAGAAATGGCAAGCATTACAGTGTTGACTTGCCGCGCAGTCATCGACAATTTTAGACGTCGTTTATATGAGTGCCGTGATCGTAATGGATTGCATTTAGACGATGTGATTTTTAAAACATAATTCCCATTCAATAAAGATGATAACAAAATATAATAATTCTTCATAATGTAACTAGTTTGGTTTTATTCCTTTTTTTCCAGCTCAAAGGACTTATGGGCCACCCTGTATTTTGACAGCCTTTTGGCTTTCTAGACCACTGTGTGAGGTTTCTGCCATTTAGGCCTCGATTTTCTATATGAACGGGAGCTCCTCTACTATATCGCCCATCGGCCGGTGCAGGTCGTGTATACATATAATTAGTATGTAAATCGTGAGCGGTGAACTTGCCCCACGATCTGCACAGTACAACGGACCATATTTATTAATCGGATATTGACGTTATATTTAAATTATATGGCTGCAGCTCTAGTATTGTACCTCATCCGACAAGAAACGGTCTCGGGTGGTTATTATACTCCAGCTAATTACCGACCTCCTAAGATACCGATGTCTCTCTCTCGCTCTCTCTCTCTCTCTCTTTCGTCCTGCATGCCATGCCGCTCAGCTCAGCTGCATTGCTTCATTATGATCAGAGATATACATTTTAATTGCAGTATGAATCGGATGGTGACCCCTCATTGTTATTACATTAATGTAGCACCTAAGGACTACCTTCCAGAAAATAACCGAGACCTGTAAAATAACAAAGCAAAATATTCGAATTCGATCATATAATTGCCGATTGAATCAAGAGTCGAAGTACTCTGACCCAAAGCTACAAGAAATAGAATGTTGTCCAAAAGTCTATGCCTTGCAATCGTTCATGATTTGTTAACATATGCAAATTCTCCATGATTAACAGTTAATTGTCCATTGTCCACCTTGGAATCAGTCCAGGGGTCAATGCTTCAATGGATGTTCATGGTTTTTTACCAGTTCTTTTGGTCCAAAGTTTCTTCATTTGAATACTTGTCACAGTAACAGAATCAGAAAATTTAGCAATCGAATTGGATGTAAATGGCAAAATGGCGGAAGAGTAATGGATGAGTGTAATCGTATATATATATATATATATATATATATATATAACAAAATTCGAGCAGCTAACCCGAGCGATACGTATTTCTGCTGGTTGGCTTCATCAGGCCCGAAATGAATGAACATATGCAACTACAAAAGTAGATACGCATGCTCATACATCCGGACACGGGTGTAATCTGAGGAAACAAAGACGGAGAGGAAAAAAAACAGACATGAAGTCCACAACAAGAGCCAACCTACACATTGTAGTATAAAATAGCTAGAAGACCTCGAATTTTCAAGGCGACATCTAACCACAACCACGCGGCCGGTTATATCCACTTGCTGTGTTACTTCAAGCCCAAAGGATCTACAAAGAGAAAATAATCATGCGGAGAAATGTATATAACAAAAAATAAGAAAATAATGGGCAAAATCCGCAAACCGGCCTCGTGGTAGTGGTTAGATGTCGCCTTGAAAATTCGAGCTATTTTATACCACAATGTGTAGGTTGGCTCTTGTTGTGGACTTCGTGTGTGTTTTTTCCCTCTCCGTCTTTGTTCTCTCAGGATACACCCGTATCCGGATGTATGAGCATGTGTATCTACTTTTGTAGTTGCATATGTGCATTCATTTCGGGCCTGATGAAGCCAACCAGCAGAAGTAGGTATCGCTCGGGTTACCTATCCTATTTTCTGCTCGAATCCACTTTCCTCCTTTTTGCAGATTTTGCGCATTATTTTCCTATTTTTTGTTATATACATTTCTCCGCATGATTATTTTCTCTCTCTCTCTCTCTATCTCTCTCTCTCTCTCTCTCTCTCTATATATATATATATATATATCTGCTTGAACTTCTTTGGGTAGAAGGCAAAGTTTTGCATAAGTATGCTCTTATAACTTGAACCCAGGCTTTCGATGATATGCCATCATCGTCTGGAGCTAAAAAACAATTTTTGAAAAATAGTAACGATGAACAACTAGGAGAAAAAATATAATTACTTACTAATTCGGCGAGATTGTTGCTGAAATTGTTCTTAAACGCTAGCGAAAGGGAACACGTAGTCACACACGAGTCCTAACTGTTTATTGTTGCTATTTTTCAAAAAATTTTTTTTAGCTTCAGACGACGATGGCATAGACCATCAAAAGCTCGAGTTATAAGAATGCACAGGGTGGCGCATCGAAAACGAAACAGACGCATTTACTGGCAGCTCAGGTTTTTTTTGAAAAATGCTCAGACCCGTCGATTTTGTTTTCGAGGGAGACATAAGTTTGGCAAAATATTACGTTAACACGTGCAGCCCCCTGGGCGGGGGTGACACAAACCCTAAAATCTTGAATGGAAAAGGGGGTCGAGTGATACCTTATTTTAAAGGTCTTTCAATTCCCTTTATAATTATATAAAATTAATGTACTTCAGTTCAGTAGTTTTGAAGATTTATTGATTTAAAGCTTAAATAAAACTAATACATCATTAGTGGAGATCAATACATTTGGCAGCAAAGTAATTTAAAAATGAAGAATGGCTTTTGTTCTTCGATAAACTATGTTGCCTGACTTTGCCCTAACTGACTATTCTACCATTCTATGGACTTTTTCTTGGCCTCATATATTATGAACTGATCATTGCGTGTTCTCGCTACAGAAGGGCTCTGAACCTATATGGCTATTATCCGGATCTTGCCGTGCTAGCTGGTCCGCCTTCTC